CCTCTGACAACAACAACGGATGCCCGTCATCACAAAATGTTTACCTGGTTACAAACTTAAAGCCCTAAACTCGATTCACATTCCAATTTCAAATTAGTCACATTTTTGCCCGTGGCGACAAGGGCGAATGTGGCGAAATCCCTATAACTCGTTCCACGCACATGTCGCCCGTCTACCTGGTGTTCTTGTAATGAGCACCGACTGTAGTTAACAAATATTGGTAGGTTAGTTTGCTTGTTGTTTTGTCGTTTGTCTTGTACGGCAATCCATCAGACAAAAGTGGGAATGCCAAAACTCTCAGCTGCCCATGCTCCTCACCTGTAGAGTATCCCACACCCCACTGTACAGTGATCACCATTTATATTTGTTTCAATATTTGTTCGCTTTGTGAGACAGAAAGTGACGAAGCATTTGGTGAGGAGAATTTCGAATCTGGAATTAGGTTCCATTCCACACTGTAACTTTGCGGACGTTGTAACAACAAGCTACACAGTCGTTGTAAGGGCGTGTGTCATTCAGCAAATTTTGCAAAGTTTGTTTTTTTAACTCGACTTTTTACACGTGAACTTGGTTCGAGCTGTAGTCGAATTTTACAACTCTCATGGTCTACTCGTGAGTAACATATCAACCAAATCACAAGTCACATCAAAGGGTCGACTATCGAGAGTCGACTTTTACAACCTACCTCACGTCGCGCATACGACTCGTAGGTTACCCGGTTTGACATCTTCACAGTGCGCCACGTCGTCATCGTGTGCCTTGGTGTTGAGGGGGCCTGCAAATAGCCTTCGTGGTGCATGATGACATTCGCCATTGTCGCCGATTTCGCTTTAGCTGCAAACGTGGGCAGGAAGGATGACACACGTTTGCATAAACGTGCGGGCGCACGTTCGAACGGAAAGTCGAACCGAGTTAAGTGTCTGAGTTTGGTTCCAACTTTCTCACATGTTTTGGCGAAATTCACAAACAAACATAGCGAAATAAACGAAAAGGGCTACTACTAAAAAGTCGAACTCGAATTTGAACTCAGCCCATCAAGATCACACGCCCTAATGGATTTCTTTGTCCGACTGGTTCGTTTGGTTTTCAGAATCAAGGCCACTGATTCGCTACGTCCCCAGGTAAAGGGGTGTACGAAGTAATTTTTTACATCCTCCGACGTCGAATGCGGCACTTTGAACACATTGCCGGCGACGAACAAGTCACTTAGGACAAATGCCGGCCTTAAAAGTGTTACATTGGCCGTATATTGGCTGCGAAAACCACAGAAGCAAGTTGTACATTTTCGCACTGCTCGAAATTACTAGTCATGCCAATCTGCTGTTTTGTCAGATGTGGTCTAGCCATCACTGTAGATATGCGCTCAATCTTCTTATATTGACCGCTTCTGCGACCAAATCCTTGCACAATTCCGTGCTAGTTTCGATGCTGGCGTCAGCAGTTTTTGAAGCGTACTTTGAACACGGAAATGGCACCCCTCAGCCCACCTACCTTGCCCAACAACCTCGACGTGGATCGACGTCGGAAGAAATGCAGCACTTTGAACACGCTATAAGCGGTTCAAATGGTCACCAAAAGCTGACAGAAAGAGCAGATACAAAAGCAGCCAGCAATCCAGGTAACGTTTGAATGCTTATCCTGCATTTTGGGTCGTGAGGCCTAGCTTATAGCCTTTCAAGAGTATCAGGTGTACAGTTGTTCTCGTTTAAAGTCCGACGGAGAAACACGCCGCGCGCGGACTATATGTCGAAATGACCGAAACCCCGGGCAAACGGGACCCTATAGTCCCAAATTCGAGAAAATTGCATGAAAAGCGGTTTTTTGTCTCTACTGGTTGTTGTTTTTTGTCATATACGTACGTATGGACCGCGCTTGCTTCAACTTCTCGTCGAACGGTTTTACGCGTTATCAGTGATGCGTGAAAAACGGGCAGAAATAAACAACATCGATTATGTTTGATGCCATAATAAGTTTGTCTTTTTGTTTTTCCTTCCTGTCAGCGAGATTACTGAGATGTCATCGTGGAGCGCGCTAGGAATCGCGCGACGGGAATAAGAAACAAGCGCGGTCAAGAGAAACAAAAAATATCAGTTGTAAATGTTAACTTCGAAACAAAACTGCACTTTTTAGCATTCTCCGTTAATGTTCAAGGCACTTATACGTGCAATGAACCTGGTCAAAAAAGGGACTGTAGAGGAGGGGCCACACGGGCCACACCTAGGAATTAAAGGAAAAAGCTCCTCATTCTGAAAATGGGACTTTGTGAGCGCGGGACTTTATAGCGGAACCATTTGTACATTTTGTCTTCCCGATAGGTCTTCAAGTTTTCCACACCATTGCAAACCACAAAACCCATCCCGTCCCGATCCGACCTTCTGAATCCAGCAGAAGCTCGCATCGGCGCATCAATTGCAGTGCCGAGGGGGTTTGCACATCAAGGTCGCGGCAACGTGCAAGCTACAGTGCAAAAGACGAGTAGAATCATATCGCGGTGGAAGACGACAGCAAACCGGCGGTTTCACCGGGCAAAATGCTTTTCCGTTTTGTCCGTTTAGACAAAAGAATACAAAACTACATCCTACCCTCGATAATTTTACACCTCTTAATCTCAAACCCTGGGGTACATTTCCTAGGTTAAACTTTTTTCGTAGCGTATTTACTGACGTTCAGGAATTCCCGGAGGAGGATCCGACTACTGTCGTGAACTGACGGGGTGCACCAAGAATATAAATGGTTTCCAAACCTAACTAAACCCTTCACTCCCAACACAGTGCGCGTTTCGTTGTAGAGAACCTGCCGGTTGTCTATTAATAGTCCCTCAGTCTCTGGGTGTCCGTCGCATCAAGCCAAAAACCGTAAGGGGTACCTACGAAAACAATGGTAGGGAGTGTGGAACTATCGCGAATAGGGTGTACACCAACCATCGGACAAAAACAAACGAACCAGCAGTGTGGTTGTGTGGTGGTTAGACGAGTCCAGCTAGACCTAGCCAGGCTGGTGGGGACCACCACTTCAGTGACAGCAACTCTCTTGACTCTGCCAGCCCTACCCTTTTCCTCCCATGGAATCACCATTATCCCATGCCATCCCACCCATTCCATTCCATCTCTCCCATCCCATCCCACGCATGATCCTGCCCGCTCTCGACGTCGAGAGATGTCGGTGAATTTCAACCCTTGGATCTACGGTTCCAACTGTCACGATTCACCGACATACTTCGACGTCGAGCTGGTGCAGTACTTTGAACACCCTTTTACACCCCATCCCCGCCGTGCACATCCTCCATCTATGGACCCATCCCCGCCGTGAATTCCTCTTCTTCTGCAACCACGGGTACACCCTTTTTTTCGCTACACTAAACCGCGTAGGTGCGCTGCTGTTGCTCGGTAGTATTCGAAATTTTGCCAATACCGAAACCAGCGGCATGTGTGAGGGGAGGTTTTCCAATTTCACTTGTCCTAGATACCCTAGCCAGCCATTCCAAACTATCCAAAGACCTTTCTTAAACGTGATCAACCACACTGTATCGTGCTGGTCAGAAGTTCACTATAACACGGCTGATAGCGCGCTTCTGTATGGAGCGAGTTTCTAGTAACATGGAATCTAGTATGGCGGATCTCACTATGGCGAAAAACAAGGTGTACCAGATCCACCCTACACCTCATGCGTTGTAGCCACGCAGAGTGCCACCTCGTTTTTGACTTTCCTGACTCATCAACCGACCGCGAGTTGTGTTATTGATTGAAACTCACGGCTTCTCTTCTCCCTTGTGGCCATGAAATTGCAGCCACCGGGATTGAACTTTCCTCCTCTCCCCTCTTTTCCTCCCTTCTCATCCCCCTTCACTCTCCACTCCACTCTTTTGCTCGGCTCCATCCACGTTACCTCCTCTACTCCCCTCTCATCTCCCCCCATCTCATCTCCTACCCCCTCATCTCCTCCCCTCTCAACTCCCCCCTCTCATCTGCTCTCCTCTCATCTCCTCCCGTCTCATCCCCCCCCGTCTCATCTCCTCCCCTCCACCCCACCTCCCGTTCCCCATCCAGAAACCTCATTCCAAGAACCCTCAATCTCACTTGACCAGCACACCATAGGTGTACAACCACATCAGCTGTATCAATAACCATTCAATCCGTCAACCACATCAGCCCACATAAAGCCAACCAGCATCATACTCTACCGCACGCTCAACCGCTGCTCCTCTCATCAGAAGAGCAGAGGCGTCGGGGACGGCTGGCTCTTCCCTCAACCGTCGGATTCGCCAACCCAGCAGCACGTTGATGACGGCGAGGCGACCAGTAGGCCTTGGTGAGGGAACGAGCGGGAAGCGAGAATCGGGGGGAATCGTGCTTCAACCATGAAGCAGAAAGCGCATCCGCCACAGCCGAACTAACTTCCGCCTTCTGCATGATGCCTCCTTCCCGCCAGCCCACTCCGCCATAACCTACAGATGTCAAACTGCTTAGCTTCAATGCTGCTGCCGATTTTTTCAATTTCCAGCTGGACTGGTAGTGTAATCCCGGCAATTGCGTGGGACTCGGCAGCAGAACTGCTCCATTAGTATGTGGTGGAGCGACGCGCGAAGCGGTGCGACACAGCGATTGTAGAGCCTTGGCTTATATTACTCCTCACCTACTAAGCTGTGATGTGCCCCATTGCTGGTAGACGATCTAACCGTGCACCGTTAGTTTCCTCCCATCGATCCAGTTTTTGAACATTCTGTATCTTCTCCAGCGAACAGAAGGCGGCAGTATCTTCTATCCACCATCGCGATTTATCGCTGTTAGCAGCGGCAGTAATCACCCTTCATGGAGTCCGTATCAGAGGTGTGTCCTATACCCGTTGTAGACTGGCGCAACTTAGGCAACGCCGATGCGCAATCCCTCTCGCAGCGCGGACTCATAAACACGGACATCACGCCAGAATGCGTCCGGAATTTCGAGAAACGCCTCCGCCGCTTTCGCCGCCGCCAGTTGCGGAACGTCGCGAGCGACGCCGCGATGCAGCTCTCGTCCGTCGTCAGCCAATGGCGGCAGGACGACCGCCTCGCGGATCGAATCATGGAGATAACGGCGATCGCGGAGGAAAGCGACGGCGGCGGCGGCGACGGGAAAGGCGGCGTCGACGGCGGCAGGAAATGCGGCGGGAAGTGCGGCGAGAAGTTATGCAGCGGAGGATGCGGCGGAAGCTGTGGAAGCGGCGTAAGCGAAGGGAGCGGGGAGCCAATCGGGCTCCGCCAATCGTGCTCGCTCCCTGAGCTGTGCCCGATCCCCGCTGTTGACTGGCGCGTTATCAAATCGCACTGGTCACACGGCTCGGATCACTCCCGCGGCTCGAGTGGGGAGCTGGAGCTGCCCTTTAGCGTGCCGCCGCGTAGCAATAGCTCTTCTGATCCCCAACTTACCTCCCAGCTTAGTTCCGAACGTAGTTCCCAACGTACCTCTCCTGAGGAACACTCCAGCGGTACTAGCGTCGTTGATGTCAGCTCGCACGCAAGTCGGGCGATTCGATCCCAGTCGCAGGACTCCAATTACTTCCTCGTGTCAAGACAAGAAGCGGAGCAGAACCGACAGATACAGCAGCATATAAAGGCTGAGCAGCGGCGGCCGCTTGAACGCATTAACGACTCGGATACGCGCGCGAGTCCCTTCGACGAGGAGACGAGGAGAGAGCGGGAAGGTCCCCCTACAGCCAGTCGTCCGCCGTGCGCGCATGCCTTCTACGCGGATGCGGGGAGAGACACGAGTCTCCCGGCAGTCAGCCGCCCGCCGTGCGCTAGTGTTAAGACAGTCGACCGCGCGCCGTGCGCGAGTCTCTTCGACGGGCTATGCGCCTTCCCCAGCGACAGCAGCTGCAGCAGCGACGTTTTCGCCGACGGTTTTGGCGGCGGGGGTAGCGGCGCGGTTAGCGACCCGGTGAGCGACAGAGTTAGCAGCGCGGCGAGCAACGGGCTTAGCGGCGCGGTTAACGACGGCGGGCCTAGGAAGGGTTCGAGTAACGCGGCGGTGTTTCACCAACCAGATTTTCCCGCCGCTGGTTTCAGCGACGGGGTTACCAGTGGGGTTACCGGCGGAGTTAGCGACGTGGTCAGTGGTGCGGTGATCGACGGCAGGCTCAACAACGGGTTGAGCAGCGCGGAGGTTTTCCGCCAACCAGTTTTTCCCACCGCTGCTGCCGCGAAGGGCGGGGATTATCAGGGAGGCGCCGCGGAAAGCGGAGACGATTTAAAGAACGAGGAAGTCGGGGAGAACAGGGGGAGCGGGGAAATCGAGGAAGGCGAGAACGACGAGTCGGTATTCCGCCAGGCGATTTTACCCGCACGGGGTAACATTAGTAGCGGTCCGGGCTCTGCGGTGGCGACAGGATGCGGGGACAGCGGGCGGAACGGCCGCGCAGGATCAAGGGACCGGGGGAGGCTCGCGAGCGGATCCGCGCGGGAGGTTCCGCAGGGGGTTCCGCGGGGGGTTTCCCTAGGGAGCTCGGAGGACAGAGCGCGCAAGGAATCGGCGGGTTCGCGGATAGACGTCGATTCGCCCGCGCAGTCAGATCCTGGTTTCCCGGTACAGATGGACGGCAACGGAGAAATCGCTGACGGTAAGAACGCCAACGGAGTCGGCCTTCCCGCAACACCGCCGTCGTCGCGCCTCAGTCTTCGTCTCCGTCCGCCTTTCGCCATCGCGGTCGCCCGCCGACGGACGCTCAGCGAACGGTCGGATCTGCCCGCGTTGAACCAACGGCCAGATCTTGGGCCCCCGAATCATGCATCGGCTGAGTCGCTGTGCTGCGAGCCGCTGCAGGAGGCCGCCTGTTTGCGCTGCGCGACGGATTCACTCTACGGCGGATTGAACGGCGGCTTGTGTGGCGGCGCGCGGCACGCTCCGCGTGATGCGCAGGCCGCCGTGCATTCGCCGCACAGCGTGGCGGACTTCCCGATGTTCAGCAGCCCGCGCGTCGACGCGGCGACGCTGGTCGACGCGCGTGGCGAGGCGACGCGCGTTGAAACGACGCGCTTCGATCCGGAGAGATCGTCAAGGCCGCTCCGAAGCAGAGACTCGTGCTGTTCGTCACACCCTCCTATCACTGCCTCGGATCGCAGCCCTAGTATTACTACTGATACAGTTACTACGTTGAACAGCCCTAACATGAATGGCGTTGCGGCAACGACGAGCAGCCCGCGTCGCCGCGGGTTGCTGCACTGGCTGTCGCTCCCGACGTCGTTTTCCAGCACCGCGTCGCGACTCTCCTTCACGGCGCTGCTCTCGCCCTCTTCAGGCACCCCCGCTTCAGTCACACCCTTCTCGCCGTCACCGCTTGTGGATGGGCGTGGGAGGAATTCGTTGAATGGTTCTAACGGAAACAGTGAACTTCGCGCTAGGAGCCGTAGCGCGATGGTGGTTTCAGATTCAACGGCTTCGCGGTCCGGATTTGACTCGGCTCCTGATTCGACCCTCCCGTGTAATCGCCCGCTGACTGCGCCATCGGCGGCGACAGCCGCGCTGTCGCAATCCGTCGTAGACGCCCCTGCGAAATCGTCGCCCGCTGTTCGGCGATCGCCGTCGCTGTTGAGTCGTCTACAAGTAGTGGGATGGGAGGAGGGAGATTCTTTTAGGCAGCAGCAGGGGGAGCACCAGCAGCAGCGCGAGCAGCGGGAAAAGCGTGAGCAGCGGGAGCAGCGAGAGAGCACCATGCGGTCAAGATCGTGCCACGTTCAGTCAGCGACTTCGGGATCGCCACGTGTCACATCCACCAGGGCCGAGAAGTCTCGACTCGCGTATTCACTCGCGGTTCGATGTTTGCGACGAACCGCATCGCAGCCCGAAAGAGAAGCAGGAAAAGGCAGCAATCGCGCGGAACGAATACCGGGCGGAAATAGCTGCGCTGGTGGAAACAGCTGCGCGGAAAGCCTTGCGGATGGGTGTCTCCGCGAGACTGTACGGGTGGGGGAACAAGATTTGGCGGAAAGTGCGCAGGGGGAGACAAGCGCGGGGGATGTTGAACCAGGGGGAAATCGCAGCGGAGGGGAACGGGTCGAGGGCGAAACTTCAGAAAGTGGGGAGTGCTGTTCGCGTTTGAAGGCGCCCCATTTTCCTGCACAAGACGTGGCTTCTTCTGAAACTGTGTCTACAGTGCAGCGAGGCAGCAAGCAAAGGGGCTGTGGCGTTTTTGAGAAGATTTGTGGCCCAGCAGCATTTTCGTCGTCCCAGTTGATAAGTCAGAGTGGTACGTCACAATGCAAGCCATCCATATATGCACAACCCTCCACTCTCCTCCCCTCCCCACCCCTCTCCTCTCCTTTCGTCTTCTCTCCCCTTCTCTTCCTTTCCCTCATCTCCCTTCTCCTCACCGTCCCTCCCCTCGTCTTCCCTGCCCTGCCATTTGCACTGCCCCCTTTTCTCCATTGTCACAGAAGTTTCTTGTTTGCCTATTGTAACTGCTCGCCTCTCCTCTGCTCGCCTCTCCTCTGCTCGCCTCTCCTCTGCTCGCCTCTCCTCTGCTCGCCTCTCCTCTGCTCGCCACTCCTCTGCTCGCCTCTCCTCTGCTCGCCTCTCCTCTGCTCGCCTTTCCTCTGCTCGCCTCTCCTCTGCTCGCCTCTCCTCTGCTCGCCTCTCCTCTGCTCGCCTCTCCTCTGCTCGCCTCTCCTCTGCTCGCCTCTCCTCTGCTCGCCTCTCCTCTGCTCGCCTTTCCTCTGCTCGCCTTTCCTCTGCTCGCCTTTCCTCTGCTCGCCTCTCCTCTGCTCGCCTCTCCTCTGCTCGCCTCTCCTCTGCTCGCCTCTCCTCTGCTCGCCTCTCCTCTGCTCGCCTCTCCTCTGCTCGCCTTTCCTCTGCTCGCCTTTCCTCTGCTCGCCTTTCCTCTGCTCGCCTCTCCTCTGCTCGCCTCTCCTCTGCTCGCCTCTCCTCTGCTCGCCTCTCCCTCTTCCCTTCCCCAACCCCAACCTTCACCATTCGCCTCTACTGCAGGTTTTGTTTCCTATGTGAACCCTCTCAGTCACAGATGTCTTTCCCCCCCTTGCTGTGACATTCCCGTTTCCTCGAAAGTCTCAATTCATTGTTCTCCCTGCTCTTGCTTCCCCCTACCCTCTGCCCTCTTCTCACCTCTCGCCCAACCCCAACCTCCAGCCCTCCCGTCATGCAAGATAAGCCTAAGGCGAGCATTTTCGCACATGTCCCTTTCTTGCTGTTTTCCCTCTTCAATTCATTGTTCTCTCTCCTCTTTCATTCCTCCCCCTCTGCCCTCCCCCTCTCACCCCTCACCCAATCCCCACCTCCAGCCCTCCCTTCACGCAAGATAAGCCTAAGACGAGCATTTTCGCACATGTCCCTTTCTTCCTTGGGGCAGGCGAAGTGATACCACCACCAGCAGCAAGATGACTTTTGAGTCGGCTCAAGAGTCACCTTGGGGCAGGCGAAGTGATACCACCTGCAGCAGCAGCGGCTGTGACTGAGATTAGGCCACAGCAACCACTGTCACATGTCCTTTTATTCCTTGGCACAGTACAAGGCATAGCAGCAGCGGCGGCAGAGCAGCAGCAGCAGCAGTGGCAGAGCAGCAGCAGCAGCAGCAGCAGCAGCAGCAGCAGCAGCAGCAGCAGCAGCAGGTGTAGCTGTCACGGAGTGTCAGAATCTAGCAGCAGGAATGGGATGAACTAACAGCATGCAGGAGTACAAGTAGTAAACCCTAATTGGGTTGTACCCCATATGGGCTACCCCACTACAGCCTAGACAATATGCAGCATATATGTTTGACACACCCCCATAGGCAAAGTGGGGGAGAACAAGGGGTCACACGACCAGTCAAGAGACGCAAAGCAAGCTCAGGGTGGATCTCAACGTCACCACACATTCTGAGCACAAGCAAAGGGCTGCAAGGTCAGTCCACATGCAGAGATATATATAAGCAACAAGAGCAGTACAGTGATCAATACCTAGCAAGAGCAAGCATGCAGGTATAAATGTAAAGTACAGTACACACAAAAGACTACAGCAAGTGTGGAAACTTATGCACAAGGCCTAACAAAGTACAAAAGCGCTGATGATCACCAGACGGAAGTGCCTTGGTGAATATATCAGCAGTGTTGGCCCGAGTGGCCACGTGTGCAAGACGAAGCTGACCACGCTGCTGCAACTCTCGAGCCAGAAAGTACCGCAGAGCGATGTGCTTCGTTCGGTGCTCCAGTCTGTGCTCCTCACACAAGGCAATCGCAGCCTTGTTGTCGACGTACAGCACTGGGTGAGAACGAGGCCGCTCTCCCAGGTCGGTCAGCAGGTAGGTGAGCCAGCGTAACTCCTGAGCAGCCATGGCGGTGGCGTAGATCTCAGCCTCACAACTGGAGCTGAGAACAGAAGACGAGCGAGTAGAACGCCAAGAAACAGAACCAGAGCCAAGGCTGAAAGTGTAACCCTGTGACGACCGCTGCGTAGCCTGGTCGTCAACCCAAGAAGCGTCTGAGTGCCCAGTGAGGACCACCTCTCGCCGTCCTCCAAGCACCAGCCCCATGCCCGATGTACTGCACAAGTAGCGCAGTACCCTCTTCGCAGCATCCTAGTGCACCTTTCGGTGTCGACCAGGAGCCACGTAGCGAGCCAGAAGGCCAAGAGGAGTAAGGTCAGGTGCACGTCATCAGGTACATGAGGCAGCCCACTAGCTCTGGGTAAGGACCACTCGGCTCTACGGACTCATCCAAAGGCAGAGCTGAGAGCGAGTGACCTATAGCCAGAGGAGTGGCCTGTGCTGAGGACCAGGTGAAGCCGAAGCGCTGAAGGACCTGCTGCACCATGTGTGACTGAGTCAGTGTGATGGTGCGGCGTGCTCGGTCCCGGGTGATATGCAAGCCAAGGTAGCTGCGCAGCTCACCCAGGTCTGTGCACGTGTGTCTCTTCTGCAGCTCGGACTTCACCAGGGCGAGGGCCTCAGTGTCAGCAGTAGCAAAGACCAAGTCGTCGACGTATACGAGGATACAGAACGGCGGCAGCGAAGTGTCAGTGCGCAGAAACAGTGAAGGGTCAGCAGTCGAAGGCGCAAACCCAAGAGCCGCAAGGGTAGTCCTCAGTGTGTCGTGCCACTCACGGGGTGCCTGGCGGAGACCGTAGACTGGCCGGCGGAGGCTCCACTGGGTACCAGGAGGGAACGACCCAGTAAAGCCAGGTGGGCGGCGCAGCCAGATCTCCTCGTGCAGGCTGCCCTGTAGGAAAGCTGTGCTGAAGTCAAGAGAGTGAAGCTCGTAATCACGCTGAGCGGCAACGTGCAGCAGCACCCGAAGAGTAGTCATCTTCGGGGTAGGGGAGAAGGTCTGGAAGAAGTCAACTCCCTCTCGCTGACTGAAGCCTCGAGCAACGTAACGAGCCTTGAAGACAGGCGGAGAACCTGGCGGCCGCTTCACCCTGAAAATCCACATACCATCGACGATGTTCGCCCCGGGAGGGGGAACCTCATCGACGTAAGTGCCTGTGGACTTCCAGGATGCCATCTCTGCGTCCATGGCTGCCTGCCACTGAGAGGAGTAGGGACCCGCGATCGCCTCAGCGTAAGAGCGCGGTGTGGGGATGTCTATAGCATCCGGGTCTCCCTCAGGGGCAAGCAGCATGGCCACGAGATGAGGCGCAGCGGCTGCAAGACACTCAAGGTCCTCGTGCCTGTCCTCAAGGACGTCCGTGCCAAGGGCACACTCACCCCCGACGGACGGAGGACTGACAGACTCAGACTCAGCAACAAGACTAGCAGCGTAGTCTAGACGACAGGCAGCAGCAAAGTCAACAAGCTCAGCGACCAGGGCAGACGCAGCAGCAGACTCAAACGACGGGTCAGTGACAACAGTGGCTAGCAGACGCGTGACAGTAGGGTGCTCAGCACGAAACCGGTCAGACTCAGGGTCCGCGACGTCAGGCAAAGAGGACGCAGGTGGAGACGGAAGAGGAGTACGCTCCGGAGTAGGGGACCGACGCAGGGCTACAAGGCGTGTGCCGGGGACAGCCGGCTGACGCGGACGAGGAACACGACGACCGGTACGACTAGGACCAACAGGCGAGACAGGACGCGACGCAGGCTCACGACGCTCAGCAAGACTACCTGTCTGCTCAGTGTAAGGAGAAGGAGCAGGCAGCGGTGAGCCAGGCTGTAACGGAAGACCAGTAGACGACGGGAGAGTAAGAACCTGACGAAGAACAGAGTCAGGCGGCGGCAGAGACGACGGAGACGGCGGAGCGAAGAACAGTCGTGTCGGCGTAGCTGCACCAGTACCGGCAGCTCCAGCAGCTCCAGTACCTCCAGCAGCTCCAGCACCTCCAGCAGCTCTAGAACCTCCAGCCCTAGAACCGACACCTCCAGGCACAGGGTCTCCAACCGTAGTGCCGCCAGCAGCAGCACCCCCAGAACCAGCACCTCCAGTCCCAGGGTCTCCAGCCTCAATGTCTCCAGCAGCAGCACCCCCAGAACCAGCACCTCCAGTCCCAGGGTCTCCAGCCTCGGTGTCTCCAGCAGCAGCACCTCCAGACGCAGCACCCCCAGCCCCAGCAGCTCCAGTACCTCCAGTACGAGCACCTCCGGGACCAGCGACTCCAGCACCTCCAGTAGACAAAGTACCAGCACCACTCCTAGCTCCAGGGACGTCAGCAGAAGTACCTCCAGCAGCAGAGCCCCGGGCTCCAGCAGCGCGACCCTGACGGCGACCGTACCAGTCGTGCAGCTGCTGCGAGGTGAGAGGCACACGGGGACGAAGGCGGCTACTCCAAGGAGACCGCGCAACAGCAGACTCTGAACCCTCAGCGCCAGCACCCTCAGCAGCTCCAGCGCCACCAGCACCAGGACCTCCAGCAGCTCCAGAACCTCCAGCGCTCGCACCCTCAGCAGCCCCAGAACCACCAGCTCCAGCGCCACCAGCACCAGGACCTCCAGCAGCTCCAGAACCTCCAGCGCCCGCACCCTCAGCAGCCCCAGAACCACCAGCTCCAGCACGATCCAGACCCCTCACACGCAGGCTCAGCACCTCCAGGCTCCACACTCTCAAGCTCCGCACCCCCAGGCTCAGCACCCCCAGAAGTAGCACCCCGAGCAGGACCACCCCCAGTAGGACCTGAGTCACCAGTGACCTCGACCGGCGCAGGGAAGGGAGGAGGGTCTACCTGAGACACACCTGAAGGAGCAGGACCGGGAGCGGGGAGGGGGTCTACCTGGGGAGCACCTGGAGCGAGGAAGAGCGGCGGGGGAGGGAGAGGGGCAGTGCGGTAGGGGAAGAGATGGTAAAAGGGAACCGACTCATCGAACGTGACGTCCTGAGACGCAAAGACACGGCGCGAGGTGGGGTGGTAAAACTGCCAACCAGGCGTGTCAGGGACAAAGCCAAGGAAGACACAGGGAACAGCACGGGCGGAGAGCTTGTCCGCGGTGGTATCGCGGACAAAGGCACGAGCACCCCAGACCCGGAACAGCGACGCATCGCCAACCTCCCCCGTCCACAGCAGCGTGGGCGAGGTCTCCGGCAAGGAGACACAGGGCCAGAGGTTGAGCTGATGCGCAGCGTACCGGACCGCAAACGGCCACAGAAAATGGGGGGCAGCCGCATGGATCATGGAGGTACGAGCGACCTCCATGACTAAGCCAATGCGGCGCTCAGCAACCCCATTCTACTGCGGAGAGGCCGGAAGCGTGAACGACTGGGTGATGCCGTGCTCCGCACAGAAGGCTGCCAAGAGGTCTGAGGAGAACTCACCACCTCTGTCAGAGTGCAGACGCAGGACGGAAAACTTCGTCCCAAACCGCTCGCGGAGCTGGAGACGGGCAGCGCGGATCCAAGGGATCAAAACAGCAGGGACCTCCCCCTTGCTGCGCAGGGGAAAGACCGTGGTGTAACGCGTGTAGTCGTCAACAACCAGCAGGAAGTACCGCTCGTGGCCCTGTCCACGGACGCGGGCTGGGCCCCACACGTCCAGGTAGAGAGTCTGCAGGGGAGCCTCTGTGGGAGGGAACGAGGAGGAGTGAGGAGCGGCGCGCTGCCGCCCCTTGACGCAAGGAATGCAGGGCGG